CCAGTAAATAACAAGGCATCAGCAGTTTTATGAAAAGCAAAGAAAAAATCCAATAACAAAAAGTAGCAGAAAAGAAAGACTTTCACAACTAAAACATATGAAAAAGCAGGCAATGTTAATGTACCAATCACATGTGTGTCGATGTGAATGTATAAAAATTGTCGAAACTAATACATGTGAAGTAGCCGACAGTGCACTGTACTAATGGAGTAATTGTATTGATGCTAATGCGTGTAGAACATTGAAGGTGAATACATGTGAAGAGATTGCCAATATATATTATACACCAGTGGCACGTGTATGTTGTTGATAAGAATGTATTTAAAGATTAGTTACACGCAAAAAGGCCACTAATCAAGTAACATACAGATGCACTAATGTGTAAGAAGGTAGAAAAGCTCTACGAGTAAGGTTGCCGATGTAATTTGCCACTTCTAATTATTTTGGGCGATAAAGATTTCACTTACAAAAGCGAGTGGTACTACTGAAGAGGAAAATGACTGTTGAAAAAGCAGTGGAATTAAACCCAGGGCTGAAGGATTTAACGTGGATATGTCAACCGATACGTCGCTGAATCTTGATAGTAACGGAGTCCTTTGCATGGACGGAGAACCAAACTGTGAATTAAAAACTCTTCCAGAATTTCAAGCGTATATACTATGCCTATCGATGCTCTGTAAATATGCGCCAGATTTAGTAACGTCACTTCTAGTAACATCACTAAAATGAGATATCGACACCGATTTTTCGGACGGCTCAGGTGTTCTTGGTAATCGTTGCGCAATTTTCTTCGGCTTCACAAACTCTGTGGATATGCTTTACATGTTAATGGGCTGAAGTCTCATCTCCATACAGTTGTAAGCACTTCTGTCATTTCTTTTTGTTGAAACTACCGTACGCATTTAAAATTTTCACTTTCCAAAACCAAACTGATCGAAATCACAGTTCGCATCATTGCTGCTGGCTGGTGAACTGCCCGTCGATAGTTGAAGGGTGCTTGCTGGAGTTGTTGTAATATGTTAGGTGGATGAAGCTAAAGTTATTAATTAAAAAGAGCCTAGCTTTCAAGTAGTGCCTTGTAACATTAGCAACAACTAGTCCATTGTGGTACCACTGTGCTTTCGCACCAATTCCTGTGAATATCAGCTCGCGCATCAGCGCTGTTGTTGAATATCTTCAGACTTGTTTATGTAATTATTTGATAATTACAAATTACTGTAGCTCTGTTCATCCTTTCTTTTTGGCTTAGCCAAAAAAAACCAGCTACGTTTAACGCATCTGGCTATAACAAAGTTCCGCACGGGGAATCTAGGCACTTCTAATTTTAGAGTTACTTATACATTTTTAGGCATTGTTATCAGCTTTCTAGAAGTGCTTGTACATGATATCGTGATATAGGCATTTCGTTGTTCGCTTTAAATTTGGTCTTGCCTGCTCCCGACCTCAATAATCGAGCAAGTGCTGAATAAAAATTGAAGAGTTAGAATAGAATTGCCGAACAATCTTCACTAGAATTCTTAATTGAACAGTTAAGGCTACTCCAGAATTTAAAGGGTATACACTGTACGCATCGATGTTCTGTAAGTGTGCGCCAGGTCTAGTAACATCACTTCTAGTAACATCACTAAAATGAGATATCCATATCGATTTTCCGGACGGTTCTGGTGTTCTTGGTAATCGTTGCACATTCATCTGCTTCACAGGCCCTAATGGTATGCTTTACATGTTTAAATGGTGAAGTATTATTAACTCAACTTTCTCGCTTTATTATTTACGACCGTATGTGTATCGTACAAAGTTTAGTCCTATACTTTGAATGAA